TTGCAGGCATTTAAGGGAAGAAGTGGGGGTAAGCACACATAGGTAGGGTAGAAAGAATTAACAAGAGAATAAAAGGGCTTTGAAAACCAATAAATGGTGGAAGGTTCATATGAGGTTATTTAATTTTTGTATTGGTTTTAAAAAGAAATCAAGAGGTATCACCAAAAATTCATGAGGAAAGTTTTTAACTCATAAAGAATCTTAATTGGTAGGAGTAATAGTTTTAGATAGTTAAGTTGATCCACAAATAAACAGTTTCTAACAAAAGTTCTAATGATAATTACTTAACAAAAACTTAATCCTTGAAATGATTACAATTCTTTTTTAAGTGATAACTATATATGATTATTTGACTACTATTTCTTTTTATTTGTTCTTTTTAAATGAAACTTATCTTTCCTAACCGAATTTAATATTTATTATCAACTGACATATTTTATTTCATTTTATTATCTACCGCAGACATGTTAATGGGCTTGAATAATCAACTTCAATTAGCGAGTTGATGAAGGACGTCAGGTAGAAAATAATTAACTTTAACTAATGGATTGATGAAGGTTGACAAGAAAATGAATGATCGTTATCGATCAATGGGTTAATTCAAATTGACCGGGAAGGTAAATACCAACTCCAACATATTAACGAAAATTGACGGTAAACAAAAGACCATCCTCAATCAATGTATTGATTCAAATCAATCATGAAATAACCAACTTCAACCAATATATTGACGAAGGTCAGCAAACGAAAAGATTGTCCTCAATCAATGGATTGATTCAAATCAACATGATATAACTAACTTCAACCAATGGATTGACGAAGGTCGACGAACAAAAGACCCACCCTCGACATATTTTATCATCATTATTATCTAACATATTTTATTTCATCTTATTATCAACTATGAAATTGTATTTTGTCTTTCTATAAATTTTGAAAATTTAATCTTTCCAGTCTCAACATTCACTCATCTACCTAACTTCTCAAAAATCTCATCTTCTCGACACCTCTCTTAAATACAATTAAACTTTTTATCATCATATTAGTCCAACCTCCAAATCTTATAGTATTTGTGTAAACCATTTCATCTTTCATTATCTCCATTCAGTTTTTTAGAAATCTCATCTTTAGAGTTTTTTTTTAAAAACTTTTCACCATCATATTTCTTATATCTCTAAATTATCTCATATTTTTTAAACTTGATTTTATTAAACATAAATCATATTCAATTCAAAACCAAAACATCATTGAAAAATACAAATTCATGTGAAATTTTAGGTCTTTTAGATTTAATATTTTTGTCAATTTACGTCTATGTGCTATCGATTATTTGCGTATTTGTAATTTGCTCATTATTTTATTATTCACATGTTTTTAATTTATTTGCATTTGAATTGTATTAGGATCTCCTTCGACTATTTAGCACTGTACCCTAAGTCCCTTCATTATTCAATAAATTAGATTGTTTGTTGTACCCCAAAATTTGCCCTCCTAATCCTACCTTTTTATTGGCTTAAATTTCATCTGCATCACTCTATTAAGTCATTTGCATAACATGCATTCATTCATTGAATAAGACACCTGAGGATTCATTGGATCAGTGTACATGTGGTGGTTTGAGGTGGCTACTTTGCAAGCTTGTTTCAATCAATGTTCTGCTTGGTCTCGAATTAGGGTTTATTTCCATGTGCTTGGGTTTATCAATTGAATTAGGGTTTGGCTCTACAATCATCATGGATTTCTCTCCCCAATACTTGAGCTTGTCTATCTTATGAGGAATGGCTTTCATTGATTGCTTGCATTATAAGTCATACTATTGGACATCTTTTTAAAAAAGGGCTTGAACTTAAACATGGAAGTTCTTAGGTATCACAAAGTGAGAATCATATTTTGGTGCTTACAGTTACTACTTGAGCTAGGGTTATTTCCTTATTCATGTGGTGATTTAGAGGATTCCATCCATTACTTGGATTACAAGTTATTGAACAAGACTTGATGTGTACGTGACAAGGCAGGGGTTCTTCACATGGATTAGGGTTGGTTTCATTGGGCTTGAGTTGTCAGATAAATTATGGTTTCAATTCAAAGGTTAAGTTCACTTGGTTTATTGGGTTATAAGTCCTCTTATTGGATATTATGTAAACTTTTGGGTTTTCACCCATGGATTCATGAGATCAAGAAGGAAATCGAGTTTCATCCATTCAAAGACATTCAATCATGGTGGCTCATTCAAATTGACGAGGTGAAGAAAAAGAGCATGGTTCATTCAAGATACTATAGAAGAAAAGAACATTGTATACCATAATTCAATAAGGGGGAAAAAATCAAAGGAGAAAACTTGGATTTCAAATTGAGAATGAAGAGAAATTTCAAGGCATTTAGAAGCCACTAACAACAACTTGACTTTTGGTCAAAGTTAACCAAGCGAGGTTGACTTTTTTACCAAAGTCATATGTGGATCTCATTTGTGTTTGTCTTTCCAATTGTGTTACTTATTCAA